TGGACTTGTTTGAACACAGTTCTCTAAAGCAGGGATTTGGAAATTTCTTCCAAAAGTGTCCTGGGTAGGGTTAGGGTTAGTGTTGCAACAACAGTCAGACATTTTCTAATGCATCTGCCATACTTTAGGATGTATTTGCAGGCTCAGATTCTCTGGTTTTATAGCCCAGGTCTCTCTTCTCCGCATTCAGGAGTGTTTACCCACTACAGAACTTTCTGTTGCAGTGATCGATGGCACCCCATCTGCACAATGCCAAATTCATCATGTCCTGGAATTTGACTTGCTGTCCCACTTATGGGCTCATCCAGATGTGGCTACATTGCAGCAGGACAACACATGTGCTTGTACTACATACTGATGTAACAGTGGCTTTCTTACAAGCTGAGAATGTAATACTTATGTCATGGATGCCCTGTTCTCCAGGTTTGAGCCCCATTTAATATGTTGTGTTTTAATGAATGATTCTTACAAGCCTCTTCTATCAAGACTCTCAGGTCTGCCCTCATGTATTATTTAACTTTTTGAATCTGAAGATTTGTAAGCATTTCAAGGCATTTACACAGCTGAAGTCAATGAACACTTCCAAATCCAGTAGCACAATTAACATTTACTCCAGTCTGTTTACCTCTGTGTTAGATGGTGGACCAATTGCTTTTGCAACTAATTACTGAACACTAGTGCTAACACCAGTATTTAACCAGTACTTGGTAAGTCTTTAATCTCACCATGGTATTGTGTCACAGTCTCCTCCTTGCAGAGTTTAGAGGCGTAGATAGAAGATAATAATAATGATGGCACAGCCACAATTGCAAAGATATGCAATGGTGTTTATTATGAGGAACTATGTTCCCAAAGTCCACACCCCAAAAAAACAAAGTGAAAACCACAAACAAACCAGATAAAAAAACAACACAAAGCTATAGTACGAAATATATACATTAATTACTATACAAAAAAAACACTAGATTGTTGTAGGCAGCTCCAATTCTACCCCCACAATCCACCTTCTCCTATCTCCCCTCCTTCTATCTTGAAGAGCTCCTTTTCTCACGAGTCTAATAATAATAATAAAATAATAATAATAAAATAATAATAATAATAATAATAATAATAATAATAGAAGTACAGTATTGCTTATCCACTCTTTAATCAGTTCTTTTCATAATGAATAATTTTTAATTTTAGGAAGACTGTTTTCTTATGTAACATAGCAGGATCTCACAATATCAATAACAGAACACCTGCAGAAGATAAATGAAATGTACAAGTTTAAAAATCAGGACAAACGCAAATCTACCCCTACCTGGCTGTTCCAAAACAGGAGAATGGACAAATGTGTGGTCACAACGAACAGACAGTGATGATATGACATGCTCTTGATTTTTCTGTGATGTGATGGCTTGAGGAAACTCCCCAGTCATTACGAATTTAATCTTTTCCAGAACGTGCTATTTTACGTGACAAAAAAGTACAATTAAACTCTTAAACAGAGAGGTGATGTTTCCAGCTGCTAAACTAGAAGGGATCTTTTAAATGGCAAAATAACAAACACACATGCTTTCCTTTATGAGCTCTTCTAAGCACAGACTAAGAGTCTGAGTATAAATTCTGCTTCCTTCAGTCACAACCTAATAAAAACAATGACTCTAAACCACAAATACAGTGACAGTGTCAAAGGGGCATAATCACCCATTATTTCTCTTTTTTGTTGCTGGGGAGATATTAAAGCAGGCCAGCAATTTAATTTGCTAAATGCTTCATTATAAATCATCCTCGTTAAAAAAAGAATTAAACTTGCTACTTAGACATCATGGCAATATGGAAATAAGATGTTATATACTGTATATATGGATTGGAATTCAAGTCCCCACAATATGTGCTTTTTGATGCTGACAGAGAACATTTCTATATATGAGGGGAGCATAATACTCAAAGAAGAAATGTAGTTATAATTTTCTTTTCTTAAAAACAAATCTCAAGGACAATCCCCATCTTTTCTGATAATTACTTCTTCCCACTCTAAAAACTTTATGCATTTATGTATACTATTATAGTTCCTGAGGGTAGATAGCAATACACGTCCACAAGTCAATGTTATTGAGATTTGTTGTGTTGCAAAGAAAAAATGTCTAAAGATCTTGTTTTGTGTATATGTGTTAGTAAAGCATCTAGGTAAGAAACTGTCTCCATGTGTAAAAAAAAGAACCTCTTTCAAGCCCACCTTATACAGAGGATACAGTTGTTCAATGATGCTGGAGTGTCGACAGAACCTCCTCCATCGCAGCATGTACTGGTATTTACACTGTGCGAGCTGGTAGCTGCGGTCTGTGTAAAACTAAAAATATTATCATATTTTTAGACAATGAGAAAACAATGACCAGTCCCCCACTTACTGATACACATATGTAAAATGCATTAATAGCAGGTTCAGGTTTGGTCATCTAAGATTACCTTGTCAGCTTTAGCCAGCAATGGCACAAATTCAACACCCACAAATCAGGAGTCAATAGATTATGATGATTACACATCAAGACTATGTTCACTAGCTTTGCCTTGCATTTGAAATTAATGCACAGATATTGTGATCCTGAAGGATGCAGTTCCACAGTGGGAAACAGTTCCACAGTGGGCAAAGGATCCACTATTGCTGTTTGCCAATTATATTTTTCCTTTTGGATCTCCATACTGACATCACCTTAGACACCTCTGCTCACAAAACATCAGCATGTTGAGCTGTCTTGGTCACGAAGCACCTGCCAAAAGTATCACTGTAATCACCCCTCTTTCAAGATCACTGAGGTCTCTTCGTTCAATCATTCTAGCCATAAATATAGACATTAGATCTATCCAGCATTTTTATACATGACTCTAAACATACCGAGATGTTATTTTGTGACATTTTTTAAGTATATAATGTAAATGTTGACCTTGGACTCCTAGAGGTTTTTTTTCTCCTTACTAAGGAGTGTTTGGTTCCTCTCCTCCGTTGTCTTTTGGTCTTTTCTGTTCTGTATTCACAAAATGTATGGTTTCTTGCATCGTTAAGCACCTTTTGAACAAGCAACCTTGTTGTGAAAGGCGCTATATAAAAATAAATTGAATTGACTTAAAGCTTGAGATACACCTGTGAGGAAACCTTTGCTTCAACAAACTTGTGGTTCATCAATTAGACAGGTGTTACAATTGTTGTCCACTCCCTGTATGTAAAAGGTGTAGACTTATACATTATGTCCACTATGGTGGCAATTAGAATTTTTTGCAATTGCTTTTAAAGTTTTAAGCTAGGATTGACAAACAGCACCATCTACTGGAGGAAAAAATGTTTTTCTATACTATTTAGTGTATTATACCTTATGCAGTCCATTAATATCTTAAACATCCTCATTGTTAAGAAAATCTTCCATCAAAGGATGTCAATGGAAGCCAGCAGACAACATGAATCCAATGAGCAAATCAGACTCAGTACCAAGGGGAAGGTTTGGAGTGTATGGGCTTTGAAAGCATATCCTTGGTGTCCTGCAAAGCCACGGGGATCAACAGGCCACAAAAGTGTACATGCATCTCCCCAAATCAAGCTGAAGGTACACCAGTGAATAACCAATATTTCATAGTAGTTGTATTGGCTACTTGGTCATGAAAAGATCCCACGGCATGTTCCTAGAAGTAGGGGTGTTTACCCTGGTGTCCTACCTAACCCTTCACTCTAGGTTCGGCCTACAGATAGTTCCCCCTTAAATCAAATTGCTGAACTAAAGAGCAATTACTGAATCAATATCTCTCCTCACCACTCCGTTTCCTATATTTCAGGTAAGCTGTACATCAAGCAGGGGCTTCGATGGTAGATGAAGTGGGGTTTCTCCCAGATGCAAATACTTTGGGATCCCCTGGGATGAATTCAAGGATGATTAATTGAATAAAAGGGCAGAAATCAGTGACGATCTGGGATGTATTTCAGGGTGAAAGGTATAGGAACACCTCTGAGCTCAGTGCGGGTTGTTTCCGTCTGCACTCAGTGGGCTCTGGGTACCTGGTGCAGCAGCAAGGGAAGGCTCTCTGGAGTGTACTCCCGGCTCAGGCAGCTCTCCAGCTCCCTCTGCATTGCATCCGCCTGCACCAAGACAGGTCTGGCGGCCGCAACCTGCAAAACCCACCTTGTGCCCTTAGTGGATAAGCACGGTGAATACACACCTGCATTGCTTAATTTCATGGTAGCTCCTTTCGAAAGAACATTGGAAAACATCAGCAATGATTTAACTTATGAATTGACATAATTCTTCTACAGTAATAGCACATCAGATTTAGCTGGGGAAATTGGATGTCAAAATATTTACAGCCCTGCTTTCAGCTGTGTGTCAATAATAATTTGAAGTTACAGTACATCTTAAGTAACTGCAACTACGTTACATCGTTGCAGCAGGTAATAAAGTTAATTCTTTAAAAAATAAAGCCTTGATTTGTTTATTTTCCATTATGTGAGCCACTTATACACATTCTTTAGGACTGTTTGTGTTCCCAGCTCATATAACAACTACCAGCTATTGGTAATACAAGGTTGGCAAGACTGTATTTAACCTTAGGTGACCAATGAACGGCTGGTCATTCCATCTCATTTGTGTTTCTGACAAATGATGTTGTGTGATTATTGCCGAACTTCATACATGTCAATCTCATTTTATTCTCGACCCATTTTCCTCATTTTTGATTATTCATTGTTGTTTTTTTGTTTGATTAGTAATTTGGCAAGGAATGTCCTGACACATTTTTTTACAGCCTACAAGAGAGATGTTAAGTTAGAATTCCATATCAGGAGCATGAATGAAAGCTTATCTCCTCATTAGGATCCATACAGGATTAAAATACTTTTGGAAGACAAAAATGAAACTACATAATCACAACCATTGAAATTGAAAACATATTATACGAGGTAGTCAATGAATAATATGCTGAAGAAGAGATTTGATTCAATAAAAAAGAAAAATAGTCTAAAAAAGAGTTTTAACACTTCACATTACAAAACTGAAATCATGTGTTGATGTTGTCATCTTGTAAGTATGTGATATCTTGTAAGTACAGTATGTGATACAAGAAGGTGATGACAAGAAATGTTGTGTTGATAACAAATTTTAAATTTCAAGGCAGACAGGGTGTAGGAGTCAAAAAAAGATGAAAAGACAGCAGAAGAAAAAAATGTTATATGTGTGAAGGGACCATGAGAAGAAATAATAATATTGGAATCTGGAAAGTGGGCATAGAGATAAAAGAAGTGACCCAAATGCCAAGCACTGGTTAACTCCAGAAAGGATTAAATTAAGACCACAACCTAATGTCTAATACTTCAGGGTATCTAATACTGGAATGTGCTCTTTAATTCAGCTCAAGTGCTCCTCCCCTGATCCAGAAGGAAATCAGACCAGTGTGGGTAAAGGTTCACACTTCATGGCTGGGCTTGTGAACTGCTAGATGAACTGATGTTAAGACTTCAAAGAGACTACTGTGTTAAAAATGTCCTCTCCTGTTGATTTTGGCCTCGTACAGTAGGTTAATGTGTTTTTCACGTTCCTCATTTCACTCATTACCTGTAAGGCTCGTCTCAGCACCAGCTCTCTCTCTTGTCTGAAGTAGGACATGTCCTTTGGAATGGGCACAGAGCTGACACAGAAAAGGAGGGTATTAGAAATTGATCATTTTTGCTCTCCTACATTTCTGACCTCAATCAGAAACCTACAGTTTTACCTTCAGTAAACCCTTTCTCAGCCCACCTGCATTTAACAAGATACAACATGACATAATGACAGCCGTTTGTATCGCAAACATTGCTAATTACAATGACTCATACATCTCTACTTCAAATTCTCTTAAAATGTTGCATACAATTCTTATTTGGGTCAATATATCACAACAAGAAGAGCGTAACAAAAACTATTCAAAAGATTCTAGTGACACCCACAGGTTTACTGATACTATTTCACAAAACCTAATAACAGTTACTGGAAAATACATCACAGTGCATTTGTTTCCTCTACAAGAAAAAAAATAGAAAAACCCTTTTACAGTGGTACTCTCTAGCTGAATAAGAAGTACTTGACTAACTTAAATGCTACTCGTTAAATTAAGGAGGAAATACATCTAACATACAAGAATGCTTGTTTTCCTCTGATTTGCAACACTGCGTGTCATCACTAATGTTTACAGCCTCCACCAAGGACACAGTGCACCATGAAGTAGCATGTTAAAGACAAGAATCAAAACGTAGAAAAGAAGAATGCATTCTTAGGCATTTTATTTAAATGAAACACTCTGCAATTAATTGCAAGGAACAAAAACAAGAATTTACTGAACTGAAACTCAGAGCATAAAATATCTACCCTTTAATAAAATTCAATGCCAAGTTAAATATACAAAGATAAAAAATATATACTACAATTGGTAAGTACTTACACTGTATTTAAAGAATGCAATCTATAAAGATAAGACAAAATATCTTTATGAGGTTTTCCATGTACGGTACAGCTATACTGATCACTGTTCATCCCTGTGTTACCTGTATGACTTTGCTGGTGTCCCTTGTAAAACTCCATTTTCTTCTATCTCTGTTTTCAGAGCGGACAACTGAGATGACAGCTCGCGTTCCATCAGCTGCAATCTCTCTGTTGAGGAGACTTTATAAACCACTGCCATGTCTGTTAACCAAGCAGACAGAGTAAAGAAGGTGGAGGTCAGTTCAGAGGAATGATTAGAGGTTACAAATGAGAGGATGCCGGTGGGTTGTGGATAGATTTCTCATTGGGCGATCTCATCCTGCTGCTTCTTCAATGATTACATGGAATCTGTAAGAACATGGCTCAGGAGCTTGTTCCAGTCACACACAAACCATTGTGTACAAAAAGGCTTCCTGTATTCAGTCTTAAATGCACATCTAAATGATTTCCACTCATTGTGTTTGTTTTACATAATCCCTGCAGTACACCTCCTGGTTGATGTTAATATTACCTCTTGGGATTCTAAACACACATACATTACATTGTACCAGAAATTTGACTGTGTTTGATAACACAGCAGCATTACAATAGTACTAACCTATACAGAGAACTGCGTGCAGTTCTATTCCCTGTGTTACTACTGCAATCTTGGAAAGATTTTAAAAAACAGTGACCAGAAGATTTCAGCCTCTGCAGAACTACCTGTATACTATAATACTGCTACTACCAGGGGATAGTGATGAATAATTGACCCACTATGCTGGGTTTGTGCCAGAGCAAAAACAAAGTTCCAGTTTTGTCTTATTTGACCACAAAACCTTTTTGTCACTTGGGTACTTTGATGCAAACTTCACTTCCCCATGCAGGATTTCATATGTTTTGTTTTCTTTCTATACATGATTCCTTTGTGGAGTGACAGGGATGTAGCTGCCTCATGGGCATTTTCTCCCATCTCAGCCACTGAACTCTTTAAAACTCTTTAAAAGTTGCCATTGGCCTCCTGGTGGCATGCCTAACCAGTTTCCTGCTCACCTAACTACTCACTTAGAAGAGACAGGCTTGTCCAGGCAGTGTCTGGGTACCTCTCAGTTATTAACACTCAAATTTACCACACTTAAACTGTGCAAAGGTTTGAAAAATTCTGGAAAGCATTGTACATGAATCATAACATATTTATAAATATTTTTAACCTACTGTATACTTGGATATTGGATATTCAAATGAAATACTTTTCTGGGTAAAATAAGTTTAGATACAAAAAATAATTTTGATTGCATACTGTATGTACAGTATTCACCTTGAGTTAAAACTTGGTGGAAGCACATAGTTTTGCTACGCACTGTATGTTCTAGTATTTTCAAAAATATTTGGTATAATGAATGCCTTTATACAGTGTTGTAATTTTACATGTAATCTCTTGAACCTTCTGAGCTGAGTGAGCATCTAAAGAGTGGCGAGATAAATTAAAGTATGCAAGTGCAGCTCAGGGTATTTAGGCTAGCTCTTCTGTGTGTTAATTTACTTTTCATCTCAACCACGTAGCAAAATATCCAAAAAAAATGTACTACAAAAAACTTTTACTTGTGCTTTGAAATATAGGAGAGTTAGTCTGACGACTGATTCTGCTCTGTTTACTATCCTGCAGAAATGTAACTGTTAATTATAATGTGAAACATATAACGAAATTAATCACAAGTAAAATCTTTAAAATCTTATTTTTCATTGAGGTTACAGATGGAAGTAAGAGTTAACTATTGGGGGGTCTGAAATAGCTTTCTAAGTCCTCTTTATTCGATTCAGCGTGTGATTTGTAATGTAACAGTTTCAAATGGACCCTACTTGATCCTCTAACACAATGTTCCTAACGCATTGGACACTCGAGCGGTCGAACACAGTACAGCACGGCCATCGCTGACTTACAGTTACAGTGGTCCACAGCTTGGCTCTTAAGGCAATAAACTAGACTTGTGACAGCACAGCAGCGGGTCTGTGCCAATTCCCCCTTCTATACGAATGTCAAAGCAAATAATTACTAGCATCGCAGCACTGACGTATTGTGCATTTCATTGAAATGTGCACATTGTAAGAAGCTTTAGGAAGACGCAGACAGTTTCCAGACTAACCACTTTTCTGGAACTTCAATCGGTTTATAACCTGGCAAGATTTGATCAGTGCCCGATCCTAGTTTTTTTTTTTTGTCGTACATCTTGAACGTGTTTACGGAAAAAGAACAATTATGAAACCGCACAGGACAAAATAGCCAAAAGAACCTGAGAAAAGGGGTATTATCTACCATAAAAGGTATTTATGCAACGCATACCTGGGAATTGGCACTAAATAGAGCTATATTAAATCAATAAAAAAACAGGTTTGACTTGAGCTGTTCAATAAGTTTAGTTAAAATGTAACCCAAACATTAAAACACAATATAGTGTATAGCAAGCATACCTGTGAACTTCTGCGTCTGTGTTTTAACTCGTTGTCGCTGACTCCCCTTGGTTTCCTTTCAAGTGCAGGCGCGGATTTACCCCGCGAAAGTAACTATGGAGACTGGACACAACAGCAGGCGAACCCTTAGCATTTATGCTAATCATTGATCACCCAACTGCGCTTTTATAGGTGGACAGCCATGTGCGAGAGTCGAAGGGTGTGAAAAGGTATCGTTTCTATTCTAAGAACAATGAAAACGAGGACATGAAATGCAAGCTAAATTACAGACAGTGCAGTGTAGGAAAGAAGCAGACATTTCTTTACTCAAACTAACGGGCCATCTCATGACAAGCGTCTCATGGTGTTAAGGCGACCGTTTGGACCCTGACCGAGACAACCAGAGGACAGACGGCCAAGAAAGACTAAGCCCCCTCTTACTCTGTGATCCAAGTGTTCGGTGTTAAGGAAGAAGTGTTTAAGCATGAATTTAATCATTTCATCTCCTCCTAAAATAGTAAACATTACATACGGTATGTATTGATAAATCTGCACATCGTCGGTGGATTCGTGTTTTTTGTTGCATTCAAACGGGTTGAAGGCTTTTAGAAAACGTTATCTTCCCCATGATGTATATCTGGGCTTTAATAAAATATATAAAAAATATATTAATTTAAAAAACTAACTGGGGCAGCACCATGGTACACTGCTTAGCATTGCTGCCTCACAGCTTCAGTTCCCAGGGTACCATTAGCACGGAGTTTGTATGTTCATCCCACAGTCCAAAAGCCATGCAGGAACGTTAATGGCTTTCGGGAAACTGGCCCTAGTGTGTATGCCCCGTGATGGACTGGCGTTCCATCCAGGATGTGCCCTGCTTTGCGCCCATTGCTTGCCAGGATAGGCTCCTGCTCCCCCGTAACCCTGAAGTGGACAATCTTGTTAAAAAAAATTAGTGAATGGCAAAACTGGGGGTTAACCCTCTCCCCCTCCCTCCTCCACACTGAATATCATAGTGAGTTGGACTAGGAGCCTAATTTGGGTTTACTGAACTTTTGGATTCGCTCGTCTTGAAATCGAAAACCTCATGCTTGTCTTTTGAAGCGCAGCAAGAGCATCAAGACAGCCAATCGTGTAAGACGAAAAGGCAATCAAAATATTACATTTTATTGTAAAAATTAAAATACAGAGCAAAACAGATTACAAGGTGTACTGCACATTTACATCCATCCAAAAATATATTAATTATGAAAAAGAAAAATGTTAAAAGCAGGAGCCAGGAACACAAAAGGAGCTCTTAATATAATCATTTTCCAATACATTTTCACTCCTAGGAAAAGATGAAGCGATGTCTCTGTGCCTTTGATGTGCTGTATCGTCAGAGAGATCCCACGCTCCGGTGAGAAAAGATGAAAACGGGGGTAATGACCCCGTTCTCTTGCCCCCGTCCCACAGGAGTCCTCCGCTGTCCAGGCACCTACTGCTCCCATGTGATGTCGTCCTTCTTCAGGTGCAGCTGCAGCTTCTGTACTTTCTTCAGGAGCTGCAGGCTATCCTGACTCCTCAGTCCTTGAGCGCTCTTACAGGGGCTAGAGCGTCGCGCGGACTCCACTCTGCTTGCTCCTCCTGTCCTCGGCTGAGCCCTGGGCGCCTGCCTCTTTGCCATCTTGGACTTCTGCTTCAATGTCTCTACCTGCGGACAGAGGAATAACCCAAGCTGCATTTGAGGGAAGAGGACAACAGGTTTGTTCACTTGTCCATCCCACCCAAATATGGCTACTCACAGTAGTCAGTTAAGTGTTACATGTCGCATTGTACTAAAGATAATCACATTTTCCTCACTTTCCCTTTTGAAATACCCATTACATTGTTTAATGGAGAAAAATGAAGCACTATAGGGCAGACTAAGAATAATAATTAAATCACACGTATCTACAATGATTCTGTTAGAGTATCAATATACTTCAGGAGTAAAAATAAAAAAAAAAACAGGGAAAGGTTCGTTCCATTATCAAAAGGTCAAGAAAAAAAGCTACGTTTCGGCTATGGAGCCCTTCTTCAGGCATAGAATACACCCGACATCTGAAGAAGGGCTCCATAGCCGAAACGTAGCTTTTGTTCTTCACCTTTTTATCATGGAATGAACCTTTCCTGTTTCTTTGCAGCCTACCCATGCTGATGCAGCTCCCTATTCAAATGTTAAAAAGCCTCAATATGAAGAACACTGAAAATAAAAGCAGGATAGATTAATAGGCTATGTTTAAACTGCAGCTAATATTTGAAAATTAATTATTTAAGCAGCCTGAGCATTTTGAGCATGTAGAGTCAATCTGCAGATCTACTGTAAACACAGGTACACATACTATTACCAAAAAAATGGTTGCTTCTGGCAGGTGAACAGGAAATCTGGATGAAACTAAAGGTAATGGCTCACATCCCACAGACATTAATTGAAGTGCTCAGGCCTTTCTTGATCAAGTTGTACCAAGTAAATTATAACATTGATGTGGATCGTGACTTCTCTTCCAACTCACAGCCTTCTGGTGTCTCTTCAGCTTGGAGATCTGGTCCCCTTTCACCTCCATGCGCTTCACCAGGGAGTCCAGCTCTCGCTCCAGGTCTTCCCTCACCTCCGGCCTCTCCGTCTCTTGGATCTGTGTCACCAGCTCCTGGTGCTCACTGAAACAACACCCAGGTCATCCAGCTCTGTGGGGCTCTCCCTGCCTACCCAGCGTGAGCCCATATACGCCCAGCTGCTAAAAGCATTCCACTTCCAAATATACAAATGGACGGTCCCTGCACTGTTGAAACCACATTTAAGGACAGGAAACCCACACCTTAGCAGATTTCACTTTAACAGACTTTGGATGTAAAGGAGAAACTCTGGTAAAGGGGGATTTTGTTTGCAGTGGGAAGTTTATGGTGATCTGAAACCAATACACTGGCCAAACACATTAAATTATTTCAGACGCGGATGGCTTTCGACGATTTTGTGAACATCATGGTATGGTGAATAACAGAACCTATGGTGAAGCTTTGAGTGTGCCCTCTGAAGAGACAGAGCCAATCTGCAAAACGCTGAATAAATTAATCCAAGATGAAGGCATTACATTATTCCAACTGTACAATGCCAACGGGACAGGACTCGTCAGCCTTCAGTAAATACCCAAGCAAGGAAGCACGGGACATCTACACCCGTAAAATCACCAAGGAAAGGATTTTAGCATTACTGGTGCAAATGCTGGTGGTTTACACAGATTGACACCTGCAGTTTCCTGCACATCACTTAGACTGGGAGTCCTCAAGGATATAATGAATGAGCTTCCAGTAGTCTTTTACCATTCTAGAAAACCTTTAGTTTACTACTGACAATTTTTTCCTCATATATACGACAATTATTTTATTAAGCCTGAGATATCTCATTCGTAAGTTAATGGACCTCAGGCAATACTGCACACACCTTCCACCCTATTAGTCCAGTAGACCTCCAGAAGGGACCCAGAAAACCATCATGGACCTATTCTAAATGATTTTACTAAGTGGTGTAACGAGTTCTTTTTGCAGTAAAATGCTTTAGAAACAAAGGAGCTGGTCATTGATTTTAGGAAAAATGCAACACACCGCCCAATCTACCTACTCTTTCAACCGATGTAGTGTAACTATCTTCTCCCTAATCTTGCTGTAACACTGTTCCACTGACTTCTTGATTGGTAAATGTTGTGATTGTGTTATGTTGGGAGTGTGCTGTAAAACAAAATTCCCCAAATGGGACAATAAAACTTGAATTGAATTTAATTAAATTGAATAGAAAGACGTCCCTTCTATCCTATTAATCCAGGAAACAGGTTAATCAACAGAAAATAAAAAATGTAATATTGACTAGAATGAACAGTCAAATTTCCTGTATCTGAAAATACCATTTAAAAGTATGAGCGAAATGCAAGTTTGTTTTTGTTCCACTAACATTTTTCTTCTTGGGCCCTGCAAAACCACATTTGTAAAAATATGTGGAGGCATGTCTAAAAAGAGCAGTTTCTGCAGAGCTGGTGGTCTATGAAACAAACAGTCAAGCCACACGAGGATTGATGAATCGCTGGAAGCATTTCAAGGTTGGATTATAAAGCAACTAAAACCAGTCAAAACCATGGGGATATTTGTCAATGTTTTAATATTGTAACCTTTTTTTAATACATCTTAATATTTGATCAATTATCCATCACAATATATCCGAAAGTGGATATTTTGTTATAATTCACTTAAGAGAAAGGGTAAGACTTGATTCTGAAAAATATTTCTGTTTGTCTAACTAGATTACACCAGCTGAAAACCTTTGGCATCTCAAACAACTTAATACAGTTTTCCAGACTCATTCTGACTGCCTCTATAACTAGCTAGGCAGTACGTCTGCCTGCTCAAAAGGCAAACTGCAGTGTGCTGTACTCTCTGTGGAGAGGGTTATTGGCATCTTTCCTCAATTGATGATTTGTACAATTCCAAAGTAATGCACAGGAAAAACTGCTGATGACCCCTCTGACCCAGGTCACCGCCCGTTTAAAAAAAACGTCCCTCTATAAGAAGCTACTGGTCTATTAAAACTAGAATCAGCTGGTATCTGAACAGCTTCTTTCCTAGGGCTGTCATTTTGCTTAAACAAACACAATTACTAGCTACTCTATATGTGTCCTGTCTTAAGGAGGTCTATTGTCTTGTTTGTGTATGGCAGTGGTTCTCAAACTATGGTACAGAGCGGCCGCCAGCTGGTACGCCATACGACCCTGGAACTCTGTTGTGTACACTGAAAAATCAGGACGGGTTTTCATATTTCCCATTTTAATACATTTCGCATACGCAGCCCACGTACGATACAGCGCGCGCTAATACTTGAGTGGACACAAGAGCTACAATGTAATTCTATTCCATTCTATATGACACAAGTGACCCATTGTATTTTAAAAAAGGTATCTCCAGCACATAGGGAGGTAGGAGAATGTGCGTGATTTTGGAACACCGCCAAGCCTGTAAGCACAGGAAAGCATAGAAATGTGTACTACGAACGCTGGCAATCCTGTGAGCACAGGAAAGCATGATAGATAACAGAAAAATATTTAAGAACTGTTCTAGGTTAATTTGAGAAAAATACACAGAGCATCTCCATTTCGCTCCCATGCACATTAAATAATTTCTTTTAACTTCTGAGACAGACTACTGAAATGGAACCGGGGAAAAAAAAATTGCAAGCTTGTGGATTGCTAAAGCGGGTAAGCCCCACTATTTTTGAAGAACCTTATTTACCGTTGGCAAAAGAGCTGACACATTATGTGTGGATTAAAAGCTGCTAAGCAACTCAACCTGCTGCCCCCTCTGAAAGACAGTCACTCACAGAATTATTGATATGGCGGATGATATCAAAAGTACCCTGACAGAGCGCGTTAAGATGAGTAGATGCTTTCTCTGCAATTAAATGAGTCTGTAGATGTTGTCGATTTTACCAATTTGCTCATTTACGTTAGATACGAGTTTGAGGGCATGTCCCATGAGGACTTTATGTTCTGTAAGCCACTACCAACAGAAACTACAGGAGAGCACATATTTCAGTTTCTGAATGAATTTATCAAAATGAATGGACACATTGCAGCATCCACTGCAAGACCTTTGCCATCAAGAAAATGCCTGACGATTTAAAATCTGTTAGACTCTGTTGTGAATTGTATCAAGGCTCGAAAAATGAATTCACATCTGCTTTGCTCGACTAAACCGGAATGGTGCTTTTTTTATTGTTTTTATTGTTAATTTTTATTTGTTATTGTTCCTGTTGTCATTCTGTAAAGCGCTTTGAGAAGCCACATTTAAAGGCGTTATATCAAATAAAGTTTTTATTATTATTATTATTATTATATGTGTGTGAGTGTGTGTGCACACGTGCACTCATGTCAGTCATAGAGAATTTCTTGGGCTCCTATGAGAAGATGACTTGTAGGTGGTACTTGGAGGCTTTGGTTTGATCAGGGGTGGTACTTTGTCCAAAAAGTTTGAGAACCACTGCTGTATGGTATATGTAGAATGTTCCTGTAACACCAGGTACACCAGACTAAATTCCTTGAACATGAAATGTACTTGATGTCAAAAAGATTATTCTGATTCCTATTACGTTATTTCTGATCTACACAAAATCATTTCTGGTTATAGAATACTCAGACGCTATTCAATATATTAAAATAAGCATAACTAGAAAACATGCAAGACTGTAGTAGTAGACTTGGCCTCCATTATGATATAATATAGGAATGTAATATATTTCAGTCAATATTTTCTTCAATTCAATTCCTGTTTGCTGTGAATGAAAGTCTTCATATAACTGGCATGTGATGTTAAATCCTCAGAAAGCAGTGCGTACACACTTAATAGCACAGCAGAATACTCACAAGCTCATTTGTCCCAGCTCGTCTTGCAAAGCTAGGAGCAGATCTGATAGGCTGCCTCCCGAGGAGGGTGCAGAGCTGGAAGAGACGGACCCTCGCAGGTCCCTCCCGTTTTCACACCGGGAATTCCTTAGGTTTTTCTGCGGAGAGCGGATGTGGAGGTCCTGGTTTCCATCGCACAGCTGATGGCTATGGTGCTTCATTATGTGCAGGACATTCTGCACATTCGCTCTCACCGAGTGACTTGGACTGGTGGACTAGGTTAACAAGATCATCTCAGTTATTAGTAAATCACTTCCAACTATGCATTACAGGCAATTCACCAAGCTCTTATTCGAAGCAACGAAAGCAACAACAGACCCAAGAGTTATGTTCCATGCTTATGTGAAAATGGTAGAACAGTAGACATTTTTCAGCAAACACGGTACAAGCTGAACACTGTACTGTCTCTTTGACAGGAGAGACAACTGAATCTGCACTACTTTAACACCTCAATCAGATAAAAGGTCAGCTGAAAGTATGTTTAATTCTGTATAAAGGAGATTGTGACACTCAAGTTGTTTTCCCAGGAATTTAAAATCAAATCAGCAACTGTTGAAAGATTTAACTGCAATAAATAGGGTTAACATACTATTTAGCAAGATGACCAAAAGAGGCACAACTCAGCATACAATGCTCCAAATGCATTGAAAATAAGGCAGGGACCAAATATTTCGGAGAGCAACGCTGTGCTTATAAAGAAATGTCAATACACACCGTTCCAGCCACAAAGGGAAGCTGCTTTGCCTTTGGAAACAACACAGGCTTTGGAACATCGTTCTTTGTCGTCGATATTTTCTGAGGAAAAAAGAAACTTGAATCTGAACACGAAGAGAATATGGTTTCTTGGATTAGAACTACTGCTAAGTATTTTAGATTTCTAGACACAGGTCTGAAATTTTTCAGTTACAGAGAACAATCATCTTGCATGTACTGTATCACTCAGTTAGCAGGATTCTTAAATTTCCTTTACTTGATAATATTCTTCTATGAAACTTACAAGTATATTTAACATAAGTTTTCAGATGAGCCCTGTCATGACTGTGTATATTTTCAAAAAATAAACATGTATGTTTACTGTGCTGTTTAATCCAATAAAATGTAATTATTTCAATAATTTAATAGGAAGCTGAGACAAGCTGTAATTGTAATTGTTTCCAATAAGGTTTCCTAATCAATATGTTCAAATGAATAATACCTTATTAAGATGCTGCACAAAGAACTTGTCATGAGACTACAGTCATTACATTTACAACTGGTCCTAGTGGATCTGGTGAAGCATCAAACCTGACCCTTACTGCTTTCTTCTTCTTCACGGCTTTCCTTGGTTTGCTTTCTGATGAAACTGCAGAATGCAGAATCCGGTTCATCTCCAGTCCTGTTTGAAGCTAGAAAGTTGTTTTTTAGTTTGTTCCATATAGAAAGACAACGTTTCGCCAGAACAGATTGAATAGGATAAAGGTTAAGCTTTCACAGCAAAAGCAGGGACAGAGACTACAGTATTACACACAGGATGCAATAACCTTTCTGGAATCAGTCCAGAAAATAACAGAAAGATGCATTCCTGGGAATAAAGGAATATCCTACTCTGGCTATCTCAAAGAACTGAAGCTTTATGATCTATTGATGACAACAAGGGGACCTCATACAAGGACGTGTCCCAGTATGCAGACTTGCAGTCTTGTGTCTTTCATATGTGCATTACCACTCAGGTCTGCAAGTGTTGAGGGTGAGCATTTCTAATTTGTGTTTCACAAGCGCCCACAATGTGCCCCATATATGCCCTTCTCTGAAGTCTGCATCGAGGCATACTGCGCTGAGGGGAATGAAACCCCAAATTCCATGTGGAATGATTACGTTTCATCTTCCAGCCTATCAAAGTAGAAGGAAGTTGCCATGGAGAACAACATATTCATGAGTTAGTGAAAAGTAACTCTTTTTTAGTTTTCAAACTCATTCTATTTTATGTAAAATAATTCAATTAGATTCATATGTATTCTAGGTATGAAGTGTTGACATAAAGCTTTTATTTTGTCAATCTATTTCGACTGAATGTTCGTTAACCACTGGTGCACCTCTATTTTGTACTGATTAAATAGTACAAAGCTTTGACATAAGCTTTACCTTATTTGCTTTGGCCACTTTAAATCATTCCTATTCAACATGAACGAACGAGATCTTGTCTGGGACAGACAAGATTAAATGTATTTAATAGCACAAAGTTTTCAATAAACTGGAAGCGGTATTGCTAGCTTTTCCTTAGATTACTTTGCCCGTTTTGAGTTGGGCCTACTCAAATTGAATGAACACATCACTACTATGTCACTACTCGTGTGAGGGACAGACAAGGCGACAATAAATTTCATCAAACTGCTAGCGGAGAAGGAAAAATTAGTTTAAATGATTCTCTGCAGACATGCATGTAGCCACTGCAAAAGAAGCATCAACAACAGAAAGCACTTTGACAATGAATCGTGTAACCCAGGAGTGACATCGTACGAGTGTTTCCCATCACCCTTTTTATAACGATGCGCCCTTTGATTCCTCATGTGTTTTAAGTCCACACTTGCTCTGCCACAGAAGTGCAGACTTGGGGAAAGGGCATTTAGTGTGACGTTCAGGACACGGCCCAAGCATTAAAAATTCTCACAAAAATTTTGAAAGGGTTTGACACAGTCAGCCCCAAAAAAAACAACTCATAATTTAGAAAAAGCAGTGAACCAGAAACTAGAGGACACAAGTAGAAACTATGTGGAACTGCATTTAAAATGCAGAACAGCAGGGTAGTGGGAGCATGGAACAAGCTACTGAGCCACACAGTTGAAGCCGATCTCCTGGCTCTCTGGATTGATCTGGACTCACCTGGAGAAACCTCTGGACCATTAAGCTACTAACTACCAAATGGGCTAGAATGATTTCCTCTCTCTCTTCACTTTAATTACCATTCTTGATATCTATTCTAAGACAAGATGGAAGAAAGTCACTGAACTCTCCATATTCCTCCGAAGTCAAGTGCAGACATGTGAAACCTACCTGAGCTGCCTTTTCCTGGATAAGCTTCCGCTGGTGCTCTTCTTCAAGGAGCTTATGCTCCAGCTGCTGAATCTTCTTCTAAAACAGACATGAAGGAGAAGGCGATCAGATTTCAAGATCCCTAAATTATCAACAACTCTTGGTGAAAGACTAAGACCCTAAGGTCACGTGGATAAACACAAGGACTAGATGTTCTTTCACAGCATTCCAAAATGTATAGTTTGCTCATCTGTATGATATAATGAAATATTCTAAAAGACAAAGCAGTAATACCTTCTCAAAATTAAATGAATTCACTCAAAATACTGCATGAAACTATGAGAAAACTTTGTGCTTGACAAAGTCACAATTTGATTTTTTAAACAAGTCCCTATTTTTCATTTGCAAATTTACAAATAGACGTCTAATAGACGTCTTGTAAACTGAAATTATAATATTCTTAACTATATGTATTGCACATTAATTCTACATTACACTAATCCTGACCTTACATCAACTCTTGCTCTAATAAAGCTAAGAGAAATCTTATTATTTTAAAATGTTATGACTATATTTGCTATTTGGATATTCAAGAAGAACTGGATATATCTTAAAAAGGTAACAGCCTGCAGATTAAATATTCTGTTCATAATGAAAACACAAAGCAAGTCACACAGTGTTCAAAGATAAAGAGCTGAAGATAAGGCTTGCATTGACAAAAAAATAGACTTGCATTAGGAGGCTACTGAGGCAGCTGTTTCCCTTGCAGATAAATTTGCAAAACAAATGTATAAACAAAAATGACAAAGTAAGACATTTATAATTCTGAAATTATAATATTATAATTTATACTATCCGTGATCACACTTTTTTTCAGCATCTCATTAGTAAACAGATTGTTAAATCTTTCAATAATCTGGTACTACATTTATTGTACAAGAATTTTAAAATGTATCTTCACTTACTCTACAGTGTAAACTTTAAGCTATATGTAAATATAACGTTCTTAAAAACCACCCACTTATCTTGATAAAAGCTCATTAAAATTGAAATCATTCATAAGACCTACAGAAAAAAAGTTATTATTTTCCAACAGTTCATTTCTTAAGAATAAAATAATCTAGTTGCCACTATTAGAAAAACTGCCTCTGTGCAGAAAATGAAGAGTCTTACTAAACTAAGAATCAAAAAAACTGCAAGAAACAGGCCATTTTTTTTCAGAAACTACTCTGCATTTCACTCTGTGGAAGCACGGAAGCATGCCTACCTCTGCCATAGACTGAGTGCTGGTAAGTCTAAGACACTCTTGTTCCAGCATCTCGAGCTTTTCTAATTTACCATGAACTTGCTCTTGGTCTTTTAACTTTTCTTTTTGAAGTGAGACCTGAAAGGCAAGAATTTTACAAAATATTTTTTTTTTAATAAAACCAAAACATTTAAACAAGACTCAATGTACACATTTAATACACTCTAGATGTTTTTCAGAGACTTAATAGTTTGCCTTTTAAGATTATGCATTCAACATTAAACAAATCATATTTACAGCTAATCATATTTGCAGTAAAAACTCCATTACAAGAGCAGAACAAAAAAAAAGGATGGTTTCACAAATACTAATTAAAAGAGACTTGGATACATTACTTAATATGTTCATTTAAGCTCAAGATTAATCCTGCATAAAATAAACCAAACACCTGCTCTTCTGAAAGTATGTTGCTGTAACATCTGTCTTCATAAGGCAACTTACAAATGAATTTGTCAATTCAAAGGCAATAATAATTTAAGCAAAGCGTGCAAGAGTATATTTTCACTTGGTCATCCTGTTAAATCCACAGAATTCTGTAATGTTTCAAGAGAGCTAAATGGGTTTCACTATTCTCTGGGTCTTTAAATAAGGCAGCTGACATTATCAATGCCATTATACACTTGAAAAGCACCTGTTTTTCTAGGATGGCATTCTTGTCACGTTCTGCATTTTCTACCATTTTCCTCATGTAATCCAACTGCTTCTCCAGAAGGCAACAGCGGGACTCTGCGGAGCGCAGCTGAGCAACGAGCTCTATGAAAAGATTAAAACAATAAGGTGTCCCGCAAAGGGCACAGAAGAAAAGCTTGCCGAGCTGGTCACCAATGAAAAACCTGCCGTTTATTTGTGAAACTCAAAGCGTTGAACTGGAAAAGCCCACAATCCTTTGCACAGCCATCTTTTCATGGCTGTGCAAAGCCAAATATGAAAAGCCATCTTTTCATATTCTACCATTATTTTTTTTTAAAAAAGATCATCCTATAGAAATCAACTTGTACGTGAAATACGTTTTTTAAAAATCAACTCTGACGCTTTAGGAAAGCGCAAAGTACCTGTATCTTGCGTAGCTCCCTTTTGCACGTTGAGATTTGAGGTCTTTGGCTGCTCAGGTTCCCCTCTATACCACTGGGCCTTCTCGGAGAGCTGCCTCATGCTGCTCTCTGCCTGAGCTCTCTCCAGCTCTAAGCGCTTAATCTTCGCCTGCAGCGTCTTCAGGGCTGCGATCACAGCTGTCAGAAACAATAAAAGCACATCCAGCCCACACTAAAGGAAGCACCCAGGTTTTCCACACAAATGGTCTATAAATATATAATGGAAGAAGCTTATCTATTAGCCTTAAACATCATGGATATTTTTAAAATAGAAAAATTGTGTTTCCTATAAGACACATACATATTGTCAAGTATTAAACCAATATATTCCACATGAATCTCTTCTACACCACCACTTCTTTATTTTCAGTTAACTACACATTCTGTAACATGACATCTTAGCTCGGTTTCATAAACAAAAAATTAACCAATAATAACCTTAATGAAATGAAATACAGTAAGTCTAAGTTTTAATATTGCACAAATGTGTACACAAGTCTCGTAACCTGCTTTGAAAACAGTAACTTACATACAACATTGTTGATATCCAACAGTAGGAAGTGAAGGGAAAGGAGAATGATCCTAACAGTGGCAACTGATACACTTTGAAAGGTCAAGTTAGCACCACAACACAATGGCTTCTTTAAGTCCATAATTCTTTAAAACAAACTCAACCATCAACAATTCAGCAAAAACCATTTCATACAGAGTAACATATTAATAGAAATCACTACACTAAAGAACAAATAGAACTTAAAATCTGTTTCATCAAACATACGTAAAACTTTATAGTACCTCGGTGGTTTACTTGGACCCTCCTGCCTTGTTAAAAGATTAGACATATCAGGCCCGACTAACACCATTTAATCAAAACAGGGATGTAAATAAAGGATTATATTTACAATCCTTTAACCTGTTTATGTTGATCCTGTAATATATAGGGGACAATTACTGTTCAATGAAAATGTTCAAAAGAGAGAGATTTCTTTAGAAAAAAGAGCAAAAAAAGTTTATACCGTGTACTATTAGGACATTACAATTAAGTGAATTTAAAGGATACGCAGTAGCACTATTTGCAATTAGACAAACATTTGATACAGTTTTAAAAGCTCTGGAATCCCATTCAGTATCAAACACTACAGTGTAGATTTTCCGTCAATGCACACGAATTGTTAGATTATGCAACTTTTCATCATTTACATTAAAACAGTAATATCTTAAGGAGGACTACAATAATACTACAACGAATAAGCTAAGATCGAGATCTTTCACTGCTTTGTCAAAACGTCAACAAGCACAACTAGAACGACACTTAATCTGCTACCCACAATGCCATTCTCTAACGTCGAATATTTTCGAGGATGCCTATCACGCTATTCTTCGCTTTGTATTCTTTGCATAAAACACAGAAATATAAATGTATTATCTGTATAATCATTCAAGGGCGCAACAGTAAAAATGATCTCCTGAGAAAACTTGATTTAAGTAATCTTTCCTTGACATTGTTCAGCCTACTGACCGTTTCCAGCTCTGTGGGCTGTCGTTAGGCGTCGTGTACGGTCCTTCTTACCTGCACTGCTGGCTTCAGGTTTTCCTCCATGAGTTTCAACATTGAGTCTCTGGGCGCCGTCACAGCTTGTTGTGGGGGCTAGAGGCTGCTTAAAGCGAGTCAGCCAAGGAGCTGACACTTTCTCGGGAGGTAGATAAAAACTTCCGAAAAAGCTGAGTTTAGATGGAGATCCCACAGTTGTAGACTGGAAAAAAAATCCATATGTATAGGCGAATTAAATGCGGTTTAACGAAACACCAAATAACCCGTAAACATTTACAGTACATCCCCCATGTTCATGGCACTTTATCGTGTTTCATCCTTACTTGTTTTCTCGTTATAAATTACAGGTTGCAGCTGAGGAGTTTTAAAATGAATTTGTTCATACCTGCAACTTCAAAACGTGCGTTACAACAGCATCCTTTTGTGGATACATACATTCCTGTCTAAACTGACATTAGACATTGCATGTCTAAACTGTAACGCTAAACTTGCGATTTTCCGTGCTTTATAAAACGCAAACCTTTTAAGCAAGACATCCTCTAAGAACATTAAACCAAATGCGTGAGAATTAAAACAAAACGTGTTGTCAATATGCCTGTGCATACGAACCGGACATCTAACTAGGCACTAAAACAACAAAAACAGCCAAATGCAGTGAAGACGGGTACATAAGCAAAGTAGATTTCCACTGGCTTAACACTTTAAAACACTAAAATGATACCGATTTTTTTCTCTTTACTAACGGTACTAGAGACAATACAATTAACTTAACTCATAACAAAACAAACAAGTTTCGCTAATTCAGTTAGCTGTGGTTGGAGAACCGGTCCTAATCCAGAGCGATATGAAACTGGATATTTTTTTAAACTAGAAGCTGCTCGGTTGCTACCTGATCCCGGACCGGCTCCATGAGCGGCTCTCCACTGGTCTGACCGGGAGCTCGTCCAGCAACTTCACCCTCGCCTTGTCCTCCCGGCCCCAGCCGGCTTGGTTTGAATTTCCCTCCTGCTTTGCCGCTGGTCCCGCAGGTTCCGCCTACAACTGGGGCCTCTGGGGGAGGAGTGCAGACAGCCGCTTGGTGTAGAAGGAAAGCCAGTCAACGTCACCTACTCAACTTGTTTGTTTGTTTGTTTGTTTTTTAAACTACTGTTATTCAGTCACTCTTTGTTATTCAGCACTCCCATTTCAACAAGATAAATATTGTATAATGCGTTTGTGTTTAGTACTGAGTTCATGTTTTTTTTTTTCTGGTAATTAAAAAAGTCTGCCCATGCCATAAAGCCGATCATCACATTTTTTTTCCATCAAAGGGGTTGTCACACTGTTGACTACAGCAGTGCAAATAAACGGGTGAATTTGTCTAATATCGTTATATAAATTTAGGATTATACACTTAAATACTAACGTTTGAAGATGTTATATTGCGTCAGAAAGATCTTCAGGAGCAACTGCCCATACTGCCAGGTTACTGATATGTGATATCACTCTCTTACTGAACTGCCAGGAGTGATGGCACTTATCTGGTCATGAAGATTTATTGTTCAAGTATGTTATTTCAGGTGACCAAGCACATCTTAAATTGTATCGACTTATCAAAAAGTAAATAACTTATGGTGTCTTTCTGACATGAGAATACAGTACATAAGTGTAGTCCAAATGCAAAACAGGGAAACAACAATGAAGGTTAATCTTCACATACAGTTCTTTCATCGTCACGTTGGTTGAACTAAGCTTTCTGTGTGTATCGCAACTGGATCTCTTTCCGTGTTAACCAGAACTGACTCACACTTTTCTGAATGATAATCGGGTGAGGACGGGCGTACACCCCACAAATTAGTTTTCGTTTTGTTTGATAAACAAGCGAAAGCCCGTCCAAGTCATCGATAACCGAACGCTGCGCACGAATTATCGGGAGATGTAGTTTCAGAGCGGTTGATAAATGAGTTCGGGCAATTTCAAAATGACAAATGAGGAACTCAAAGTCCCAGAAACCGCAGTGACACATGCGACGACCTTGATAATGATGAAGCTTGGCACGCCCTCTGGTGTTGTCTATTGGAGCAGTGATCGAGAGCACCCGCCTCTACTTTGCATTCATGAAATTCAATTGAGTAAGTGAACCGTCATTAATACCAAGCCTTCGGCTTGGTAGTGAGGAGTTTCGTAGTGGTCAGTGCTGAAACGGGAGCAATCGCTGCAGGACTTTTGGACATGGGCATGTAGGTTTGAGCAATGTATTTAATACGTCGTGCTCTTATTTCATGTTTAGCATAGAAATACTTAAGTGCCGGACTGTACTGTGTGCTCCACTTACAGAGCAAAGCTAACGGATGACTGTCCATTTTATTGGGTATTTTAATCTAATGTCAATGTGTTTTAGTGAATGAGATATATGTATGGTTTGGCTTTTGTGATGTAAGTGCAATTTAAATGTTTGGATGAAAATGTTTACATAACTTGCGTGATAATTTCTTGCATTTTACTTTTTTTCTTCTGCAGGTAAAACAACAAACGACGTAAAACAACTGGGTAACTCATGTGAAGTATAACAGTTTTAAAAAGTACAGAAATAATTTTTAATCACAACAAAAACGAATCCCCTATGATGCCCAAATGGGTAAATATGTCATTCATCCCAGTGTTTAAAGGGAAAGCTGTCAGACATGCCTTTACTAATAAAAAATAGGGAGTATTACAGCTGCCCACAGCTAGAGTTCTGAATTTTTCAGCGCAAGCTTCGAACAGAAAAGTTGAATATTATTTCATTTAGTTTGCATGTGAAAACGTGTTATTTTGATTTCCTTGTAGTTTTAACACACTGACAAGCTAATGTTTGGCATGTTTTATCGAATGAAGCCTTCAGCACGCCAGCTGCAGTTACGTTTATTGTAGATTTTATCAGAAGATCAGCGCACTATACTGGAAGTGCAAAGCAAAAAAAAAACATTTTTCAATGTTAATGTTGTTTTATGTTGAACAATATTCTAAGAAGTAATAACGGAATGAAACTAAACAGGAGATTTAGTTTTAGAATGATTTTACGGTTTTCTCGAGTTCTGATTTAAAAATATAGTAGTTGCTCAATTAGGAGAGTAAACAAACCCTGACGTAGCAAGGACTGAAAAAATAATGTACGTATTTTAAAAATCCAAGTATTCGCCTGGTCGCAGAAAGTAAACACAGCTCCCAAAAGTGTAAACGTGAAGTAGAAACCTGAAGCCAAGCGCTGGAAGATGGAGGGTATTGTTCGGTTGGCTGCAGGGAGGTGGGATGGGCTGGGTAGCAGAGATGCCAACTCCAGAGAAGCGGCCATGGAAAACATCAGACAGGACGTGATGAGCAGAGCGGAAAAGATTGGCCCCGTCTGTGGGGTGCCCCGGACCCCCGGCTCACCTGCCCGCTCCCCGGACGACTTGAACGACATGCTGGCTCGCCTGCTCATGCTCTCCAGAAGATGTCCACACGCTGATGTCAGAGAGAGGTCCGACTGCGTGCTCAGGAGTGTGCAGGTAGGAAAGAGAGGTTTCTTGGTGCTGAACGTGAAGCGCCAGCATTGATTAATACTTGTGTAAACCCGTTGTAAGACTTCCACTTCAGTTATTCATGCTGTGTAGCAGTTGGCTTTTGGTTTCTCAGTGGTTTGCCAGAGGCTTTTGTTACAGTTTTACAGTTCGTTTGGATTATTTTCTGTTAATCCCGAGAAAGATCCCAAAAGAATGTATGCAATGATGTCTCTATGACTGCTTTCTATGGGGAGATCCACCACGTCAAACATGTTAAATCGATATTGTACGTTTCTCAGCTTCCAAGGTTTTAATGAGTTTGATTCATTGGTACTACAGTAATTCGCATCTGGAAACCAGAAACCCTGTCAGGAAATGTTGTGCAACGGTGTGCTGCTGTTCTGCAATAGTGCACCTGTGCATAGGTTTATCATTCCTGAACCATCTGTGAATTTGACTTTGAGCAGTTATATCACCATCCATCCACCAGTTCAGAGCTGTTGATTGGTCTTTCAGTCTTCCAATCCGATGATGCAGTAATGCATCTATGTCCATAGGCTACAAATCCTGATCAATGTGTTTTTAAGTGAATTTGTGAAGATGTTGGTTATAGTTGACTCATTTGAAATGGCATGCACATGGCTATCCCAAGACAGTTGGCATGACATGAGATACGTTCAGTTAATTAACATGAGCTTACAGCTCCTTTCAACAGGTAAAGCTTGCCAGAATCCATGATTTCACGCCACTTTGCGAAACTCTCCGATGTGTTTGTCAGAAACACATCGAACTTAATAATCAATCAATCAATCACAATGTACGACCATAAGTTTATACGAAAGGTTACAAATAAGAGGAGGCCGATCTACTCCATTTGGTTGCTAGCAGTCAGTTGATTCAAGGATCCCATCCAGACAGTTCTTTTATGTAAATTCTGGATTTATATTTATAATACACTCCTTATGACACTTAGCTGTTGTCTTTTGTGACTGTAAAGGTATCATTTTTATTATTTTAGTTGAGCAAATGCACTGATGATTGATGTATTACTTTATAGCTTCTTATGGTTTTTAAAACCTCCTACTGTACTTGCATCCACTGTTGCAAAGCAATTGAATCATTTGAATTAGTGCAGAGATACATCTTCAGGTGTGGGGCGGTGTGGTGGCTCTGTGGCTTAGGATCTGCCCCTGTGGCTGGAAGGTTGCCGGTTCGTATCCCACGGCCGGCAGAGGAATCCTACTCCACTGGGCCCCTGAGCAAGGCCCTTAACCCCAACTGCTCCAGGGGCGCCAGCTGACCCTGTGCTCTGACCCCAAGCCTCTCTCCCTGTCTGTGTGTCTCATGGAGAGCAAGTTGGGGTATGCGAAAAGACAAATTCCTAAGACAATAAATTGTACATGGCCAATAAAGTGATCTTATCTTAAAAAAAGAAAGTTGCTTACAGTTGTAAATGAGCTGCACAGGTGGTGTTGTGCACAGACAGGCATTCGTGAATTGTTCATCTGTGGGTCTTGAAGGCTTGCCATGTCTGTGAGCGGACAGTTGTGTTTGAACAGAACACATAGTGCATTATGTCTTATACTAAAATCCACGAAAGGTGTTTGCCTGGCGAGTCCTGTATATACCCTTTAATAAAGAGCAGCCTTGCTCCTAGAAAGGTGACATTTGAACATTGATGAAACTAATTTTTAACACAAAGCATTTGCTGTGAAGCAGACTTGTTGTAGGGGAATTTTCTGTCATGGCACTCTTTTGTGATCTAAATTGCATATGCTATGATGTGTAAATTTGTCATTTTATTTATTTCAAAACTGTCATTGCACCCAAGGTCTACTTAATATTTCTTTGAAGACAAAGTTGGGTCCCAAGTGGATTCTCTGAAAAAATACATAAATTAACAGTTGAGTTGATCATTTTATTGTTCTTTTTGACAAACACCATTTTTGTGTGACTGTTTTATCCAAAACATTAGGATGAATGTAACAATTTACTGCGGATAAAAAATGTGAATGTACAGTATTAAAGAAATCAGAGAGGAATGAGAAGACTACTCCTCCTTAAAGGATTGTTCTACTCCACTCCTTTCTTGGATGAGCTTTTAGAATTGTTAAAGAAACGGTTTTTCCCTTGGCTGCATTTATGGATACTTAGGGACACTCAGCTGGTGCTCTTTTAACAATTCTTGCAGAACTACTGCTTCTTTCATAGACTTTCATAGAAGTGTCAACAAAAAGACTAGCTTATGCCATGGTGCAAAATGATGATCAGTATTATATTACTAGTGTCAGTATTGTTATACCAATATAGTAGCACAATACCCACCCCATTGCTTTGGAAATACAGATATTCTGATATAGATGGTGTTATTCTTCCATCATTCTACTTTGTAGCTGGAATGCATTTGGTAGAGCTGTTAAACAAACTTGTATGGAAACAAAAACATTATTTTTGAAGAGAATCCGCCTTCAAGATAAGAGAATATCTTAATTTTTCATGGCAGTTAAAGCAGATACTGTATGCAACATTTTTTCATTCTGTCTTCTAGTGCTTTGTTGGCTGTATGCAATGTTGCTGGAACACATATATTTTCAGTTTTGAGTGATTTTATACCATCTGCAGTTGTCGCTGTATGTAGCTGATCACCTTCATTCAGTAGTTCGAGGTGAAAGTGTTAGCTTTTTTATCTCAGACCATTGAATGGAGTGTGTTTAAGATACGACAACAGAGGTCACAAAATACTGTCATCTTGAACATTCGTTATGAGTGTATAATTTACCTGGACAGCTTTTAATTCTGAGTTGTGCCACAGGTGTTATTTTCTTAGGACCAGAGCAAATTTATCACTGAGGTATCAAACTGTCTCTTAACTGCAGAGGACAGTGGTGAGAAGAAAACCATTTTCAAGGTCCTACAGAGATTCTAGAAGAGATTGTTCGGTTTTGAGAAAGTAGGAGTGTGTTGTTGTGATAAAATTTCTTTGAGTTTTATTAACTGAAAAGTATGCCGTTTTCTTCTGTGAAAGCTTATTGATCCTTGTTTGTCATCATTCTATTTTTTTGTTAAACAAACCTCCATCCTATGAATCATCAGAAATTGAAGCATGATTTCCTGACCTTCTCATTTTCCTAAAGCAGGTTAGAGTCTATTACAGTGGTAAATGCTGCTATTGAAAGATTAATCTCTGTTACAGTACAGTTCAGTTTCACTTCAGTTTATTGTCCTATGCACAAGTGCAATGAAATGCTTATTTGCATGTATGCTCTAATACAAAGACATCAATGAAGCACCAAAACATAAACAGAGCAGCAGCAGCAGCAACAACAATGTTAAATAATATACACCTTAAATACAAGTTAGACAAGCATGTGTGAGAAGAAGAAAAAACATCAGTGTGATTCAGTGTTAGGGGTAGAATTCAATAATCTGACAGCTTGTGGGAAGAAGCTGTCTCTGAATCTGGAAGTTTGTGCCTTTATGCTCTTATAACGCTTACCAGAGGGCAGGGGAGAGAAAAGTGAGAAACCAGGATGATTGGATTCTCACTGTACAGTGCATGCTGGTGTATTCCCTTATTGTATTTAATTGCACACTATCATAAACACCATTCATATTGCTTGCTCTGCCACCCTGGCTAATTTTATTGGTGTGTTAAAAGTTTTATTGTTTTTTGAAATTATAAATAACACACTCCGCTCAGATTTATTTGTAAGGTGTTCCATGATACCTAGAAATCTTTATCACTTGGTTTGTGAGGATTTGCATTTTTTTAAATAACTCAGGGGTATCATTAAAAAAACAGTGGTTGTTACTGGCACTCTGTGCTTTTGCAAGTAAGACGTCCTCTATATAATGCAGTGTGAGATCACACGGTAAGCTAGGCACACAAATACTACATAGTTCGGTTTATGTTGCACACATTAAAACATCTTTTCTTTGTGACCAATATCAGCTAGATGTGGAATAGGAGCATCTCGTAAAAAAAAATGTTTGTTTTATAGAAAAAATGTCCCATGGGAACTACTGGGTTTCTTCCTAAACTCCAGCCAGTCCTGAGTCTGAGGAAAAAGTAGGTCAACTGTGTTTGAGGATTTGAGGAAGAACCCCTAGTGCAGTATAATTAATTCAATCAGATTAATTTCACATTCTGTGAGTAAGAATCTTGGTAGAAGTAGAAAAGGAGGGTTGTTTAAGGCAAACGTAAATGATCATTTTCAATTTTGTCCTATAGAGAGTGG